CAGCTAGAGGCACGCCTAGTTCAGTCTCCCAGCCGGTTTACAGATGCTAGAATATGGAACAATCAAGTTCTACCCATCCCCCCTCCCCCTCCAAACATCATGTGGCGTAACTTGTTCAAACAAGAGATTGACCCAACCTTCATCATGGAGGATTCATCCAACCCTACCCTATATACCCTGTTTACTCTACCCTACCCCCCTCCGTGTTTCCAAGCTCCTGTTTTTTTTTTTTTTTTTGCGTTCCTCCTGTGCTTCCTTGAGGTCATCAGCTTCAATGGCTGCCTCAGCGCCTGCGTGCGCTGCGCCCAGTGGCGCTTTTGCCTTGAACTGCTCCAAGCCATGGCCCGGCAAGACGTGCCGCCCAACGCGCCCCTCGGCCTTGGCGTGGACACAGTGGAGGGGAGGGGGATGGGCTAGGGCGGGGTGGGGGGGGGGGGGCTGTTTTGTTGTCTTTGAAGTTCATTCGTATTCTGTCAATTCTGTCCTTAATACTTCTAGCTTCTGTTGAATGGTAGTGGTGTCTGTTGGTGTCGTGGTATCCCGCTACAGCCTAGGCGAGGGCCTCGAGGTGGGGGGGGGGGGGTAGGACTCCAATTGAGACCTGCGGCTTTCTTTGTAAAGACTTGCTACGGAAGCTGATGGTCAACACTTTTCCTTGTTAGACTAGGTCCCCCAGTAGTGCCCTTTTACCCTTTTTTTGGGAGAGTTCCCCTAGCGCAAAATAAACTACCGAAAAAAAGGGTACCCTTATTCTAACCTCTTTACTGGAGGACTATTAAATTCGGTTTACCTTTTCCAGGCATGAGCGCTGACAGTCCTAATGTATGTTGTCTGGTGCGTTCCCCTTGCGAAACGAAGATGAAGATGGCTTACCATAGGCCCCCACCTATTCGGCGATGTCAAGCATCAGCTGTTCTGTCGTCGATTGTAAGTTCTGAGCAAAGAAGCCAAGTCCCCTCTGTCCGATTTGGGCTTTGACCACTTGGTTCACTTAGTTCCAAGACTGAATGCCAACTGAACCAAGTGAATCCACCCTCCAGCTCCAGGAAAGTTTGGGTTTGCAGCCAACGCGCACTATGCCTCCTGGGAATTGTGGGATCCAAACAGGGAAACCGGCGCGAGTCGCTTGAGCTTGGATGCCAAGATGCCACATAAATGGTAGCTTCGCATGTCATGATATATATATATATATGTATGTTTTATTTGGCCGGAAAGAAACTTCAAGTGGATGTTTGTGTTTGTTTTTTAGGTCCATGCTGAAGCCCACGCCTTGCTTTCGTTTTGGCTGGCCCCTCCTATTCGGCCGCGCCCAGGCAAACTGCAGGATGATGTGTTTATGCTATTAAAGAAGAATTCATCGGTAGTAAACTCCAGATCGTTGTTTCCTAAAACAAACAAACAAACAAAGAAACAATCTCAGGATCTCCTTCAATGCCACCATCACGGCCTGCGAGAAGACCGGGGAGTGGCAGCAAGCGCTCCACTTGCTGAATCTTGGCTTAGGGGGCCTCCGGTGGCTGTGTTCTTGTTTGGGAACCGCCCCCTTTAGATGGTTTGAAAGGGAGATCAAAAGGAACTCAATCAATGTTAGGGGCGGTTTTGCTGGGAAGCTACCATGTCTGTGTGAAATTTGGTTGGGAGGGTGGCTGGTTGAAGGTTGACAGGTATCAGTCTTGGGTAGTCCCCATATTGATTTATGGTGGCATTCATAAAACCCGTCCGGTCATGTACGGGGCCCCTAGGGCAGGTCAGAAAGCACGGCGACAAAGGCGCCCATTGCCTTGCCGGCCCTTTGCCCTTGGTATTGTGAGCCACGGCTCAACAGGGGTCTTTATAATATATATATATATACTATATATATATATGCGTTTATGTACATGTCCCTTGTTGGGTGATCGGAACATCCATGTTTGCTTGAGTTTTCTTTGGATGGGGGATATGTACAGTAAAGGGACACTTAAAAAACACTGTTGAACCATGTGTGACCACTGGAAAACAATCCCCTTGCAAACGGTCTTTTTTGACACGTGGTCGTTGGTCGTCTACGCTTGCCTAGCCTTGCCAAAGGCCAGGGTTGGTTTGACAAACGCTTTGAGGAAAGCCACTGGCCTCTTTCCAAAGTCCTAGCCCCTCAAGAAGCATGCCCACGTCGTCACGCATCAAGCAAAGCGACAATCTAGCGAAGGCAAAGCCATGTTGAACCGCCCAGCAGGATGTGTTCTTCATTTGGCATCTCTCGCAGCTGCCCCCGGGTTCGGGGAAGCTTCTCAAAGATACCCGTCTTGGAAATTTCTTCAGGGAACCATCCTTGAGATGTGGAGGCAAGGTAACTTCGCCTTGCAGGACTACGCATGCCCCCAAGGCATCCAAATGCCCCAAATCTATGGCGTGATTGAAGTTTCTTTCCAGCGCAACAGGGAGCAACCAACATGGACATGCATTCCTGGGGCAAAAAAAGGTACCGCCCCGTAGCTCACTCCTCCAAGGCTTCTTTCTGAGCCACTTTTTGGGCATTGGTTTGTGTTTTTTAGGACACTGCTGCAAATGTGGTTTAAAGGGGCACCACGAGGAAAACCGTTCTTTTGGTTGGGTGCCCCGCATATTTTAAGACATCTACCAGTATGATGCTACGTCTCAGGAGCCAACTGGGTACGCCGGACATCGTCAGCTTCTCTGCAGCCATCAGCGCCTGCGGCGCAGGGCGCAGCTGGCGACATGCGTTGGCGCTGCTGAGAGGCGCCAACGCCAGGCTTCGGGGCAGGGCCTTTGGGGTGGCAGGGGTTGCTAAGTTTCTCCATTTGGTGGCTTTAATACACCTTCGGATTTGCCAATTTGAAGTGAGCTTCCTTTTTTGAAGCTCACGCCATCAAAGTGAAATTCACTTCATGTTTAAAACCACCAAGGGGAAATGCAGGCAAGTGCAGTTTAGGGTATGTGTAGTGGTTTGGGAGAGTCTGCAACATGGCCTCGTTTTCGGGACTGGCCACTAGAGCTGATGCCTGGGTGCTCGGTGGTTGCAAACTTCAAGGGGAAAAGCAGTCGACCCCAAGCTTCGCAAGCTGGGACAGGTCGTGTGTTTCTTTTGGGCAAGATTCAAAGACTTCATTTTCTTGGACATTCTCTTAGGGCTTTCCCCAGACATGGAGCAATGTTTGGGACTATCATGGGCTCCAAACAGAACCCCGAGACTACTCGAACTGCGTTCCAAACATGTTTAGATAGCCGCTTATTTTCCAAACAGTTGCAGGAGAAGATTTGTAAGCATGACATCTGCATCAACTCAGTCCACGGATTTCGGCGCGACTGTGTGTGGAAGAAATCCTTGATTCATTGTAGCCCAAACAATTCAGACTTCATGGATTCCCATACCAGGTGTCTCCTCCAAAACACTGTGTATTAGTGTGAGACAGAACCTGAGCATTTGCTTTTGGTGTAGAGATTTGGGCCAAGCTTCCTCTTGGGTTGCCTTACCTTTCGGTTCTCGACACGGTTCGAATCGGCGAACTCGACTCGAAACTCGAGGCGCCTGGCGGAGTTGGTGGCGTGCAACAGCGCTCTCAGCGCCTGTGCCGCGGTGGGCGCCTGGCGGCAGGGCCTGCAGCTGCTCAGTGATTTGGTTCCGAACGGCCGAGGGGCGGTGAAAAACGGTCGAAAGGGTGGAAGGCAACCCAAGGAGTCACGACCAGTTTTGGTTGTCCAAACCCGAAAAAAACAGCCCATCCCCTTCCAGCCGTTTTTTGGGTCAGAATCTTCCGAGCGCTTTACAAGAGACCTGAAACGGAGCTTGTTGTCCCTTGTTTAGTTGAGTTGCTTTGTCCCCCTCCCTTCAGGAAACCCCAACGCACCCAGCACCCAATTACCCCCCACTCAACCCTAGACACTCTTGCAACCAGGGTTGCACTTCGCTAACTGGTCCTGGTTTTTCGAGTCCTTGGGGTACAGCTGGGGTGGGCGGGGAAGATTGGGCCCTGTGTGGCAGCCCCACTTTTAAGTTCAAGAAAAGTGCTCCAACTGATTCTTGGGGGACGATTCGCCCCTGGCAGCTGCGATTTGCGGAGAGGTGTTCTGGGTCTAAACATGTAAAAGTGTAGAAACTATTCAAAGGAAGGGGTTGAACTTGATTTTCTCTGGTGTCAAAAGTCTCAAGGATAGTGTTGTTGCATGCTTGACGCTTCCAAAAGTTACCCCTCGCAACCTCGCATGGCGGTGCAATTTGGGGGAGTGGATGTGGGAAAAGGGCAAAGCCGCGTGTTGGCGGTTTAATGGAACCCCGAAGAGCGCACACCGTCTGACATATTCTAGTTCTTTAGACCCGCCCCCTCGCATCTTCCATTCGGGATCGCGCTTGAAATGTCGTAAAAGGGAGGTTAACATGACAATGTCCGCCATTGTTAGGTTGTCCTAGCAGGTCCGGGCGAACGCCATGACAATCTTTCATGTTGTTAGGTTGTACTGGTAGCCCGCGGGGGCAACAGGGGAACTCCATGACAAGGTTTGACTTTCTCAGGTCGTAGCCCCGTGGATGTCTCAAGGAAACTGCCCAACTGCCAGCTGACCCGAACGAAGAGCAGCCCAGGTTCCAGCGTCGCGCCGGATCTGATCACGCCCCGTGGTTGTCAGTCAGGGATGGTGGGAGGGTACCTGGATGTGCGAAAACTGGGGGAGCTGGGAGGGGCTGAGACAAAGATCAAGGGGCGAAGGTTCTTTTCGATCCTTCGATGTTTCGCTTTTTGGCTGCGTTGAGGGAAGAGCTCGTCAGATAAGTTCCGGTAAGCTCAGCCTTGCGCCTTTGCTGGGCTCAGGTACAACGCTGCCATGCAGGCCGTCGGCCTCCCCTGGCGGGTGGCTCTGCAGGCGCTACGCCAAAGCCAAGAACTGATGCCCAATGTCCTCAGCTACGGCGCCTCCACCTGCAGGTTTCGGGGGGAGGGGGAGGTGTTTGTGCCATTGCGCAAAGCGGGGCAGGTAAGTCTCAGGGCTCAGTTTGAACGTTTGGCACCTCCGGAAGACCATTTGACTTGTCAGAGCAACTTGGAGCGGGCAAGGAACAATGGCACACATTACGCGGGTTGCTCCTAGCCTCGAAAGCTGACCACACCACAATGATCGAACCTGGTGACCGGTTTCCCTGCCTTGGCTCGTTTTCAGGGACCAATGTTTACCCTTGCAACTGACAATGATTTGTCATCGTTTCTAGTTGGAGGTGTATGAATAGCTATATTGTCAAACATTCCAAAAGTTGAGGATACACTGTCATACAAATTTGTTGGGAAAAGACACGTGTTCGGAGCAATCCGGTACAGCATCTGCCACTGATCCCAGGTGCTGCCATCGATGCCTGTGAGAGAACCATGGTTGCGCGCAAGATTCTGGTGTTGCTCGCCAATATTGATGAGCAACAGTGCTTTCAACTTCGAGGTGTCCCAAAATAGATTTTGGGAGCCCCAATACAATGGCAGGTTGCCTTTGTTTCCCCCCACAAAGGGGGTCCAAGCAAGTTTTGGAAACACCCAATCCATGTCTAGCAGGAACATGCAGACTTGGCAATTCCACCACATCAAAGTAGGCTCAATAGCGTGGAAAGTTTGTGTTAAAGATTTAACTATTCGTCCATGTCCTCCGAAATGGACTATAGACTACCCTCATGTAGGTTTGCTTGGGCGAGGCTGTGAGAATCACAGCGGACAAAGCGACGAACCTTTTCTGAAGTAGGTTTTTGCCACTAAGACCGAATGTGCACGACGTCCATGCATGAACCCCTTTCCGTTTTGAAACCCCAGAATTATGCAATAGCTTATTGGCTAATCTAGCCATGAACCAGGAGCTCTTACCAGAGCTCACACCAATTCATCGTGTGCTGTGGCTGTGACAGCGCTTACAGCGTGTCATGATCGATGCACGACCCGCTGTTCCAACGGAGTATTGCTGGGCTTGCGTCATTAACAGCTGGTGCAACAAGAAAGATGCGCCAACAAAACATGCGACAGAAAAGCGCGAAGGGCTTGGCCGCTGCAGTCTTGCTGTACCTTTCTGGATTGGGGACCTTACTAGATGAAAAATTGAGGCGCACAATTTGCAGTGGCATCAACGTGTCGAATGGATATTACGAATTTCTTGACATACACGTACTAGAGAGAGAGAGAGAGCGAGAGAAGGCCGGGCTCAGCAAGAGCATATATTGGATTGAATTCCGCCTACAAATTGGACAAGTGTAGCGATTTCAGTGTCCGATGATTTCTTCATGGGCTTGTCTGAAAAAAGGAGAACCCCCTAAAACCTGTGATTCCCATTTCGTGCCCAATAAAAAACAACCCGCAAATTAGGTGCCCTCAAACAAAGCCACGCCTTTTTATGTTCTGAAGATCTTTGCTTTGCCCTTGACGAGCAAACTGACAATCAGTGCTGCAAGTCGCGCGCAGAGCTGTATTTGTCTTGTTCAAACTATACAGCGCTTCGGAAAGCATCCCTGGTTCACCTTTATCGTCACCCCTCATGACGAGGCTTGTTGGTTCTTCGTGGTGGATATTTGGAAAGAGTATGAGGGTCTGAGGGTCTACCCAGCCATCCCAAGCAGAAACTGGCCACCAAAAGAAGCCCCTCTTGACAGCAGGAGTGAGGCTGATTGCAGGGCTGGGTTGCACCTCCCAAAACTGCAAATCACACAGGGCAACCTGGCTCCACTTGCAGTTCTCAGAGAAAAAAGGGGGAAAAACAACGACGACAAACCCACCTTTCCTCAACGACGGAGGTTTTAAGATCGCGTCCACCAGCGTTGCAAACAGACTCCTCCGTCTTCCACAACTGGCGCCTTTCCGGATTTGCATGTCAAAAAAGGTGGGCAGCCGCCCACTTCTTTCACATAGACTTGGATAGACCTCTTGAACACCAGATTTTACTTTCACCCATTGGGGTCCCCCACAATGGCAGTCTATTTTGCAGATTCAAACCCCAAAAGCAACACATACCCCAAAACAGGAGGTCGCAACATAGACCATACAATCCATGCCCCGCCCCACCCGCCGCACGCGGCAGGAGCTTCCCACGGACACCTCGGCGCGGCGCGCCGAAGGCGCCCTCAGCGAGCTCAAGACGCTGGGCCTGGCGCGCGTGGCCTGGGCCTCCGCGCGGCTGGACGCCAGGTGGGACGGGAAGACTAGGTCCCCCAAGGTGCCCTGTTACCGTTTCTTTTTGGTTGGGAGGGTTTTACTAAAATGGACCACAGAAAAATAAAGGGTACCATGATTCTAAGCTCTCTACTAAAAAACCTAGTTTGCTCAGACCTCCAGTGGGGTGCAAATTTGTTTATTTGGATGGGTGTCCCTTCACCTTACAGGGGGGAACCCTTCAGAATCAACCAAACAAAGAGTGCCAGGTGGCAGGATGAAGGCTTTTTACTACAGACCTCCGGTGGAGTGGGTCCGCTGCTTATGCAGGGGCGAGCCACTGCTGACGGCCGCTGCAGCTGAGTTCCTGCGCAAGCAGAGGGAGGCGAACAGCTAGGACAGGGTTCCCAGATTGAATCACCTGCTTTGCACGGAAATCCGTAAGCCAGCTCTTTGACTGGCCCGAATGTATCCTTGAGAGCTTGAAAGAGTGAACAAAAACCGCCAGTCGCTTCATCCACCTGAATGTGTGGCTCAAAGTTGAGGACCCAGAATATCCACGGATGTTGCTGTCAGTTTGCGTTATTCACAAACTGGGCGGTTGGTTTTTTTTGGGGGGGGGTCCGGGGGTGCTCATTTTTGAGCTACAGCCGCAGCCCACAAACCTGGAATCATGAGCCGAAGTCCAGGACAATCATGAACCATGTGTGTGTAGCATCCTATCGAACCTTTCCGTTAGAAAGTCACCCAATCATTGTGGATGTTCTTTGACGGCTGACAGGTTGATCGAACGAACCCCCCCCCCCGAAGTAGCCTGTTTGTTAATACGATTGTCAGCGCAAAGACTGCCGTCATGGCTATGATTTCCAGTAGAGTGGTGGGTGTGCAGTCCAGTTTGGTCGGGGATCATGTGCTTTGCGTCCAAGGGAGCATGTGTTACGTGCTACTGTAAATGACCGCTTGATAAGTTTTGGCAGCTCCGAGCACGAGCTGACCTTTGCTTCTCAGATTTCGAGCATGTAAGTCAGACTCCCTTACTTGGTAGGGCTAGTCATGGACCCCAGCAATGCTAGACAACCATTATAAGGGCTCCTTGAAAAGCCATGAACATGGCCCACATAGTGGCTACAAGTCCATGAGTTGATGCGAAAGCGGTCATGAAACAGAAAAAGATGGACATGACGCCAGAAACGCTTGTGCTGGGCCCTAATTGCGCCTTTTAAAGGTAGACCAAATCAACTCCAAAAACAGAGACCTGTCGCTATGGCCCACGGCAGGACTCGGCCAACGCCGCGTGGGCCTTCGCCGCTCCGAGCTTCCACCGCGCCGCGGTTTTCGCGGTGGTCGCAGCAGCTGACGTCCACAGATTTCGCGCAGAGGAGATTGGGCCATGGGGCATATGGCGAGCCATTTTCGGGTGGATGAACATCCATGTGCCACCTATTTTGATGTTCACCAGAGGGTTTTGACCAGCCATTTCGAGCGGATCCTTCTTGGCACTCCCTCAGACAAGCCCGGGGAAGCTCCAAGAAGCCCTTTGTAAATGGGACCATGTCTTCCAAAGGCTTCCATGTTAGTCTGGGGGAGGGTATTTGTTCTGTACAGTAAATCAGGTTTTCCCGTAATGAGAGAAATGGACTTCTTGATAAAGAACGTGGACCATGTTCTTTTCTCTTTGGGGCACGACCCCAAAAATGGCACCCGCCAGGCGTTTTGCTTTTTTCGGGTTTCCTTCTGGAGAGTGACCCAGATTCCCTCAGCCCAATCCTGCATTCTCGTTATCCCGACCCCAATGCCCACCGAGTAGGCTAGATTGCGAAAGGATTTGGTCCCCTTCCCTTTATGTCCGACTTGTTTCGTTTGGAAGGGTTTCCCTTTAACGTCAGCCCAAAAAAGTATTTTGACAAGGTTCCGGAAAGCAGCAAAATAGAACCTTCAAAAGAGGTGTCCTTGAGTTTCCGGATTCTACCGGCGGATTCCATTTCTAGCAGCTTGTTCGATTCAGTCGAATGGAAGCCTGAAGGAGCCAGAGACTTTAAGACTGTTTTCGAGGCTACAGGAATTAGCACCAAGGGTCTGATCTTTTGTTGCTCACCCCAAATAGGGCAACCCTCCCAAGGTGCTGTGGGTCACCAGTCTCTGACTCGGAGCCCTCGGAGCCCTTGAATGGCAAAACCAGTTGGTTACCCACAAAAGTGACAGCCTGGTGTAATACGTTGACCTACAGTTGCCGATCGAATGCACACATTTTGTTGCTGGGTGCAATCCAGCACATATTTTTATCAATGTCCAGTAAAGGAAACCGACAGGGGGGGTGGATGATTGCCATTTTGCATGCCCCCATATTAGTTAGCACCCGGCCAACCAAAAAGGACCTGGGCGCCCTTGAAAGGCTAACCAAAAGGAGACTGTTTAAGCCATGTAGCAATAGTGTTAAAACCCTGTTCTTAACAGGGCAAAACATACCCTCAAAATGCCAAATCACATATTATGTTGAATATTCCATTTGACCTATCCCGATGGTTTTCTTATCTAGCACCCGGATTGGTTTTTAGACACATGTTGGTGGCCACAACAGTGTTGGCCAACCGACTTTTTCACAAGGGCTTAGCCTCCTTGAAAGTGACAAAGTCAAGGGAGTCAACCCATCTTTGGTATCACAAGGGTTACCCTTCCTCCCACTAACATGGCACCTGTGGGAGGGCACCTGGAAGATCAGCTTCCTCTTGGAGGGACCCTAGGTGCCATGTTAGTAGGAGAGAGGGTAAACACATCCGCAACAAGAAACTCACCAGGAGCTGGCCAGCACTGCGTGAGCCTTTACTGTGACGGTCCTGCGCCGGCCTCGGCTGAGGATTTCGCTTGCCGCTTTTGTGTCTTCCAAAAGAGCGCCCCGAAAATGCAGAACCCGAAAAACAATTGGTGGGGGGGAAATGGAGAAAAAAACATAGAACCTCTTGTAGTGGTTTTGTCGTTTTGTAGATATTGAGGTTTGGGGGGCACATGTTTCTTCGGAGCTACGTCCATTTGACGAGTGGCATTGGTCCTTGCAGGAGCTGCAAGGTCGGGCGCCATTTCCTGGCCCCTGCCGAATCATCCTTGACCCTTTTTCACAACAAAGAAATATCCAGAGATTGGAGAAACGGATAGGAAGGTTTTTCCATAAGGTGGCGGACTTTTATGGTTTTGAGAGAAAATAATCCTTGGGAGCGAAACCTTGGGGACCCGATATCGCACCAATGGGAAGGTGTTGGGAGCTGGGACTTTGGGATGACCTGAGCCGGCCATAGGAATCTGCCCAGACAACCTCTGTGATTTGTGTGCGCAAGGTGAGGACCAAGGGCGGGTTACATGAGATGTGCTTTTCTCCCATGCCTCAACCTAGTTGGTACCAAGAACTGGTGTTTTTTGTCCAAGCCATACTTGAGATTTCAGGGATTGAGACATGTCTCACCAAAAGTGTAACTTGTTTCAGGGATCAACGATCCATCTGATGACAACTGTGAACGGCGTCAAACAGGGTGTGTTGGAGCACCTCTTCTGGGTGGTTTTAAAGGGAAACCAAACGGGGAAAACCACCATTGTGCCGATCCCGTGAAAAGAGAGACACACCCAGATAGAACCTTGGCGTCAAAAGCAACACGCGCCCGGTTTCCCAAGGCGTGGTGAGCCGTTCCTGGACTCAGCCGCCTGCTAGGGGCCTCGGGCCAGAGGTCTGAAAGTCGGGTCAGCGGGTTCCACCAAAAATGGCACAGACCCAGTTGGTTCAGCACAGGATGTCCCGTTCGGTGGCTTTGAACATCACGTTTAGGCCCTCTTTTCTGTGAGTTTCCTTTGGTAGGGGGTGATGTCTTCAAGCTTGGATGATATAGGGAACCCTGCGAGTGCGGACAATTTTAACGGATCAAGGTGCCAGAACCAATCCGCCAACAGCTGTTGGCTGTGCTATGTAGCTGTTGCATTGCGGGAAGGCTTCGGGTGCAGGGGATTCCAAATGACTTTCCAGGAATCTGCCAGAATGGCGAGCTTTTGAGGCCCCGGCTACGCGGCCACACCGATTGGCCACAATTCAAGCCCTGAATTAGCCAAATAATCGTGAACAGACTGACTTGAATTGATCTGTGGTTTGCTTTGCACGGCTTTGAATCGCGGTGAATCGCCGTGGATTGTTCGATTCGATCTGTATTTTACTGAGTGGATTGCTTTGACTTTACATGCCTTGCCTTGGCTGACTGGCTGTCTGGACTGGCTGACTCGAGTTTCCTTTGAAGGCGCTCCCCTAGCTCGCCTGAATCAAGATTGCAGTTCGTTTCCACTGCCCCCAAACCACTGCCAAGGGAAAGGAACATAGCTGTATAACCACTGCCTACAGGTCCCGATTTGTTTCTTGGTCAGCTGGTTTGGGGTGGCAGAACCCTCTTGGATGTGTACAACCCAATACCATGACCCCCCCTCCCCCAAAACTGCACCGAAATCCGTACTTCGGCACGCTCAATCAGAGTACGCCCCCACCTCCGCTCGTTTCGCGTTGCAGGGAGACATCTCGTTTGTATGTCAGCTGGTCACTTTCGGTCCGTTGGAGTTTCTTGAAGAAGAGATATTGCTCAGCCAAGATGTCAAGTATCTGATGGGCCAGAAGTGTGAATATCCCATTTTGATGGTGCAAATCCTGGCTTCAATATGATGCGCCGCCACATTTTTCTGGCAAAGGTGCAACCAACCCCCAGCAAAGATGCAGCAGTGTTGGAAGACTTGGCAGTGTTTTTCTTTGCGCCTCTTTGGTTTTCCTCCTTTCCCGAGGTGCCAGCGGTCAGTGCGCGGAGTTCGGGGCGCGGAGCTTGTCCAACCTGGCGCGGGCTCTTGCGAAGCCAAAGCTACGCAAGGCGCCGCTGCCTGAGGCGCCAGGCGCCCGAGTGCAAGAGCTCGCGTCGGAGGGGGAAAAACTCGGCCCTCCAGCGAGAGCGAGTGAGGGGAGGTCAGGCGAGGCGAGGGAAGAGGAGAGAAGAGGAGAGACGAGGAGAGGAGTGGAGAGGAGTGGAGAGGAGTGGAGAGGAGTGGAGAGGAGTGGAGAGGAGTGGAGTGAGTGATCGTTCATGGCCACTTTATTCTCACGTGTTCATTCAGGTTTGATAGACTCGGATGTCTGTGAATCTACATGGGCATGTCCTTGAAAGGCACTTCAAAGCCTCGCGGATTTCAGGCGGCAACACGGATTTGTGGCCTTGCTGAAAGCGCCATGTTGGGACGCAGCAGCCATTCGAAAGACCCGAATTTCGACAGACGCCTTGGGGGTCTTTTTATTATTATTATTTAAGCAAAAAAAAACGGTTGAAAAATGGCGGCACCTGTCAAAATTGACAAAACCCGTTGTTTCCTGATCACCTGGGTCGTTGGCAT